CAAGGCTAGCGCTCTACCACTTGAGCCACAGCGCCACTCCCGGCTTTTTTCTTTTTGCTTATGTGGTGCTGAGGAATCGAACCCAGGGCCTCCTGCATGCAAGGCAAGTGCTCTACCACTGAGCCACCTTCCCAGCCCCTGATTCCGGTTTTAATAAGGAGCCACCAGGTGGCTCAGTCTGTGTCAAGTGAGTCTTCCAATGATGTCTCCAGGGCAGCTTGTTCTGTTCCAGATGAGGTTTCCCACCAGCTCTCTGACATGTACCGGAAGGACCTCCTCCTGAAGCACACAGTGGCTGCAGAGCTGGCACACACGGCCAACCGAGACCTGTCCCTCAGCTACCTGTCCATGTGGCTACACCAGCCCTATGTGGAGGGCAGGAGCAAGCTCCTCCTGGAGAGCATGCTGTGGGAGACAGGCCACCGGGGGCTGTGATGCCTGACAGACCACACCAACCAAGCCAGGCTCCAGACCAGTGGACTCTCCCCTGCCCTCAGATGGACAGGGCCCCAGGTCTGGCCCTGGGACAATATCACCCTCCCCTGCATGCATGCGCCCGCACCTGCTGAGAAGTTCCCACTGGGGCACCTGCATGAGACTCAGCGCTCCTGAGAGGTAACTCTACGCATCCCATTTCATATTCTTTCTGTACCCAAGTCACATCCCCAAACATCTAAACATCTGTTTAAATTTCTATGAGGATATTAGTTCTGTAATTGTAACCTTTTTTTTTTGGTTTTGAGACTTGAACTCTGGGCCTGGGTGCTGTCCCTCAGCTCTTCAGCTCAAGGCGAGCACCTACCTCTTGAGCCATAACACCACTTCTGGTTTTCCAGTGGTTAATTAGAGAAGAGTCTCACGGACTTTCCTGCCTGGGCTGGCTTTGAACCACAATCCTGGGGTCTCAGTCTCTTGAATAGCTAGGAGTACAGGCGTGAGCCACCAGCGCCCGGCTCTGTAATTTGTAACTTTTAAGTCCCATAGAGTTAACTGAATAAAAAGCTTGTTATTATGGTAATGAAAAATAACGAAACACTGCACTGTTCTCATGCTGAGGGTGTGACACACCAGTCAAATTTCTGTAATCTCAAACTTTTCTGTGGGGCTGTGTATATTGTGATATTGAATAAATGACAGTGTTTAATAATATTAGCTTTATTTTTTGCCAGTCCTGGGGCTTGAACTCAGGGCCTGGGCACTGTCTCTGGGTTTCTTTTGCTCAAGGCTAGCGCTGTTTATTTGTTACTGAGGAATTGAACCCAGGGCTTCATGCATGCTAGGCAAGCACTCTACCACTAAGCCACATTCCCAACCCAACATTAGCTTTTTTATATTGCACCCTTAGCATACTACTCATCTATAAGCTTAGGTCTATTTAACTCACCAAATAAGGACTTCCTGCTTCCTCCTTTCTAGGTAGAAGAAACTGCAATCAGGCCTGCAGTTCTCCAGGGTCCTTGATCACACCCCCTCCTTGGCTGTCTTTTAGCACAGTTTGACTTTTACTGAGACCATAGGTAGCCCCAGTCTCTGTTTTCTAAGCACTTCACCTACTGCATGTTCAGTCCTGAGCTCAGAACAAAGAGTCGAAACACAAAGCAGCCATAAAATCTTGTGGACCAGGGCTGGGAATGTGGCTTAGTGGTAGAGTGCTTGCCTAGCATGTAAGAAGCCCTGGGTTGGATTCCTCAGTACTACATAAACAGAAAAAGCCAAAAGTGGCACTGTGACTCAAGTGGGAGAGTGCTAGCCTTGAGCAAAAGCAGCTTAGGGACAGCCCCCAGACCCTGAGTTCAAGCCCCAGGACTGGCCAAAAAAAATTAAAAATAACCATCCTTCCCAGAGAAGGAAGTCTAAAGCCTCTTGTGTAAAAAATGTAGCATGATCCTACAGAATTGAAGTTCTAGAGTCCAAGGGGCAAATGCTTGCTACAAAAATAAAGAAAATATGCCCTAAACAACAACAAAAAAAAACTACAGAATGGGGGACATGGTCAAGTTCAACTCCAGTATTACTGGAAGAAAAAAAAAAACTATAGCAAAGCATGGTGATTCAGATCTGTCTTCCCAGTCACTTGGGTAGTTGAGGCAAAAGGGTTCTAAGTTCAAGGCTAACCTGAGCTACATGGGACCTTGTGTTAGAAAGCCAAAGGGTGTTGGCGGAAAACTACGTATGACAGGGAAGAACTTTGAGAGGAAGTTAGGTTCTCTTGGTTGCACATGCAGGTATTTCAGAAGCATTTCCAGGTAGCATTTCTTGGGGTTTCTCCTTCCTCCACCTTTGCTGTATGTATTAGAGTCTATCATAAAAGGGGGTATCAGGTGACTATATGTGGACAGACCTGTCAGACACACTGCTCTCCAACCTGGGAGAAGCTTGGCATGAGGTCTGTTGGCAGCCATTTTCATGTTTGGATGGGCTTAAAGAATAAACACATTTAGCTAGGAGCTGGTAGCATATGTCTATAATTCTGTGATCTGAGGATCAAGATTCAAAGCCAGCTTGGGCAGACAAGTCCAAGAGACTATTTCCATCAAACAACAGAAGTAGGGAAGGTGGCTCAGTGGTAGAGCGCTTGCCTTGCATGCATGTGGCTCAAGTGGTAGAGTGCTGGCCTTGAGCTGAAGAGCTGAGGGACAGCGCCCAGGCCCAGAGTTCAGGCCCCACTACTGGACCCCTCCCCCCCCAAAAAAAAAAAAAACAGAAGTATAACTGTGCTTCAAGTGGTACAAATAAAGCCAAGTCAGGGGGCTGAGACGGTGGCTCAGTGGTAGAGTGCTTGCCTAGCATACACAGAAAGAGCCAGAAGTGGCACTGTGGCTCAAGTGGTAGAGAGCTAGTCTTGAGCAAATGAAGCTTAGGGACTGTGCCCAGGCCTAGAGTTCAAGCCCCAGGACTGGCAAAAAAAAAAAAAATCCAAGTGAGGGGCTGGAAAGTTGGCTCAGTTGTGGAGTGCTTGCCTCACAGGCATGAGGCCCTGGGTTTGATTCCTCAGGACCACATAAGCAGAAAAAGCCGGAAGTGGCGCTGTGGCTCAAGTGGTAGAGCGCTAGCCTTGAGCTGAAGAGCTGAGGGACAGCACGCAGGCCCAGAGTTCTGGCTCCACGACTGGCAAAAAAAAAAAAAAAAAGCCAACTGAGAGCACGAGGCCCTGAGTTCAAGCACACGTACACACACACAAGAGCATAAACATTCTCCACAGAGGACACTGAAGATTCACCACCATAACGGCCTTCCACGACATTCCAATGTGCTCCCAGACTCCCATCAGCCCTTGCTCAGGAAAGTTAAACGACTGCTTCTCCTAAGTACTACAGAAGCAAAAGAGCTAACAGGTGAACAAGGAATCTGAACCAGGTATGGTGGTTCATACCTGTAGTTCCAGATACTCAAAAGACTAAGACAAGGAGGATCACAAGTTGAAGGCCATCCTGAGTGTCTTAGACCTCGAAATACATTTTTTAATTTTTAAATAAATTTTATGACTGTGTATAGCTTACCAGGCATTCTCAGGCTCTTGGTTCAAGTTTCAATGCTGTAGAAACAAACACACACAAACCCTGAGGAGTAACTTCTGAGAGTAACAATGAAATAGAGGGCTGATCACATAGTTATGTCCCCTACCTGTACAAATCCTGCCAAACTGACAGAACGGAAACATGAAAATCTACCAATGGATTTGGGGAAAATGTGTGTGTGAGACGTGACTCCAGGATACACAAAAACTTACACAAAGCCAAAAAACACAAGGCACACTTGGCTCTGCTGTGAGCAATGAATGGCATAAGCAATGAGGCTTCCGTGCAGACTAGTCATCAGCTGTTCACCAAGTGCACCTGCCATTCCTGCCTTTGGAGATGAAGAGTTGTGACTTTAAGTATCACTATTCCACAATACTGTGAAATTCATGTAATCACTTAATCTCAATTTAAAAAAAAGGTGGGGGGTTAGGAGCAATGGATAACAATGATCAGACACTTTGTATTCATATACTGTTTTGTAGAATGGGAACTTCTTTGTACAACTACTTAAATAGAAAAAAAATTTTTTTAAAGTTTCAGACTTTTCTGCCTGGGCTAGCTTTGAGCTGTAATCCTCAGATCTCAGCCTCCTGAGTAGCTAGGTTACAGGTGAGTCACTGGTACCCTGCCCTAGATAGCTTTTTTTTCTTTTTTGGTCGGTCATGGGGCCTGGGCGCTGTCTATCAGTTCTTCATCTCAAGGCTAGCGCTCTACCACTTGAGCCACAGTGCCACTTCTGTCCTTTTCTATTTATGTGGTGCTGAGGAATCGAGCCCAGGGCCTCATGCATGCTTGAGGCAAGCACTCTACCACCTTCCCAGCCCCATAGCTAGCTTTTTTTTTTTTTTTTTTGCTGGTCATGGGAACTGAACTCTGGGCCTGGGCACTGTCCCTCAGCTCTTCAGCTCAAGGCCAGCACCCTACCACTTGAGCTACAGCACCACTTCCAGCTTTTTCTGCTTATGTGGTGCTAAGGAATCGAACCCAGGGCCTCATGCATGCAAGGCAAGCACTCTACCCCTGAGCCACCTTCTCAGCCCCCCCATAGCTGGTTTTTTAACTTCTCAAATTTAACCCTCAAGAAGCTTCTAGTATAAATCAAGTCTGATGGAGAAGCAGTAGCAGGAGAAAGCAGTAATGGGACTGGTAAGTAACAATGAAGTGATCTTAACTGCAAATCACTAAACACTCCTACAAGGTATGGCACCAAGTAACATATCTGCCATTGGTACATACCTATAGTCCCAACACTCAGGAGGCTGAGGCAAGAGGATTACAAGTTGGAGTCCAGCTTGGGCAATAGTGAGACCTCAAAATAAAGCAAAACAACCAAAAACATACTGCCATGATTGTAATGAGTTCTTCTGAAAAACAGAGTAGATAGGTATTATTCTTTATAAATAAAAGGCTCATTTGTGTCAGTAGTCACATTAGAAAAATATGCCCTGCCTTATTATATAGGCCTTCTCTGATAAATCATATGCAGATCTAAGACTGAGATTCTGATTGCTTGTCACTGAGAGTCTCTGTTTTCACAGTGAGAAGTGTCCCCAAGGTTCCAAGATGAACCCCTTTCTGGCAGGCCCACCTTCAAGACCGGGGACCCCTCTGTGTCGGTCACTATGACCACATCCTCCTGAGACATGAGGGTACCTAGATGGGACAAGACACCTCCATCGGGGGTCTGAGTAAGAATGTTCTCTTGTCCTTCCTGGGACCTGCTGGTCACCGTGAAAGCCTGGGCGTCCCCCACAGCCACCTTACTCTCCAACTCCCCCGGGCCCACACGTGCCCCCACACAGGAGAGCTGGCTGGCTCCCCGAGCGTGGCTTCCTGTGCTCCCTGGAGCTGACAAGAGTCTGTCCGGGCCAGGCCAAGGCTCTAGCTCAGGCCCAGTGCTGGAGGCAGCATCTTCTGGGGCCATGTCCATGGGTGAAACGTTCTCGAGCAGAGGGCCCGTGGCGTCCACAAGCAGGACGTGGCTGGGGCAGGCCTGCTGGCCATCCAGGTGGGAGCCACTCAACTGGCCAAGGTTCTCCGCCTCCGTGCCAAGCGGAGGCTCCCCTCCTGCTCTCGCTGCTATGGTGCCATGCCCGGCTGGGCGCCTCTGGCCGTCTGCAGTGTGCAGGTCTGCAGCGTGTGCGAGGGCTTTCTCTTCAGAGAGCACTGCCTCCGGGGCTGAGGGTGAACCCCCCGGATCTTCTACCTGCGTGCAATGAGCAGGCTCAGTGACACACCGACACCGGAGCGCAGGCCCTACACACCCACTTGTCCATTCCAAGTCAGCCAACGCAGCTGCCACCAGCTTCTGGCCCCCAAGTAATGGGCCTCCATCACCATCAGAGACCATAGTCCCCAGGCTTCCGGCCCAGAGCAGAGGGGCCCGCCCACCAACAGGGGGCGGAAAACCTAGAGAGTTCAGAAAGACACCAGTTACCACCCTCATCCCAGCCAGCATCCCCAAATGGACTTTGTCACAAACAACACCGAAACACTCCTGGCTGCATGGGATGGTAGGTGGCTAGGTGGCCTTTTTTTTTTTTTTTCTATATTAGTCCTTAGTATCAATTCCCAGAGGCAGATTTTTATCCTAAAAATACAGTCCAAGAATACTTGGCAATGGTTTCATTCCAATGCTGAGCAACTCACTAGTGGTCCCCACCAAAATGAGCAGCAAGTCACTTGGGGGTTTTCCAGTCTAATCACGCCCGTGCCTACCCTGGAACCCTTGGCCTCACATTTCAAAACAACCTCTCAGGTACTCTGAC